CAGACTTGACATTAAAATAATTAAGAAATACTACCTATGTTCATAAAGTCAATAATTTAGATGACAAAGTAGTTCCTTAAGAAATACAAAATTCACAACCCCATCAAAAAATGGGCAGAAGAGCTACAAAGACACTTATCTAAAGAAATGCAGACAGCCAATAGGCGTATGAAAAAATGTTTAGCATCACTTTTAATAAGGGAAATGTAAATCAAAACCACAATGAGATAGCACCTTACACTAGTGAGAATGGCACATATTAAAAAAACAAGCAACAGTAAATATTGGCGAGTGTATAGAGAAAAAGGAACTCTCCAACACTCTAGTGGGAATGCAAACTAGTCCAACCACAATGGAAAGCTATGTGGAGGGTTCTCAAACTGCTAAAAATGGAGCTTCCATATGATCCAGCAATTCCACTCCAAGGTATCTACCCAAAAGATACAAAAACAATAAATCAAAAGGATACCAGCACCCCTATGTTTATTGCTGCCCTACTTACAATAGGGAAGATGTGTAATCAACCCAAATGCCCCAAAATAGATGACTGGCTCAAGAAGATGCAGTATATATACACAATGGAATATTACTCAACAATCAAAAAAGATAAACTCATTTGTGACAACATTAAATGGAACTGGAAAAGATCATGCTTAGTGAAATAAGCTAGAAAGAAAAATAAAAATACTGGATGGTTTCACTCATAACAAGAGTGTAAGGGATTAGGGAAAAAAATATGTGTGTGTGTGTGTATACACACACATACATACAGTAATTGTAATAAAGTAAAAAAGAACATCAACTAACAACTATAAACCAGAGACATTCTACAGGGGAGGAGAAGGGAATAAGATCAAAACTGGGGTGGCAAAAGCACATGGGACTATGGTGATGGCACATGGGTAAAGTGGTGGTGGGAGTCCACAGGGATTACAACTAAGATGAAAAAATGTACAAAATGAAGAATAATGTAAAAATGTTTTTATAAAATAAAAATAAATAAAATAAAAAATTCAAAAGTCACTTGAGAAGATACATAACCAAAAAATCCTAGACCTATTTTAAAAATTATGTTGCAACTGAAATCCTTCACAAAAAGAGAACATCAGATCTAAATGGTTGCACTGACAGATTTTATCAAACACTTAAGAAAAAAGTAATATCAGTTCTACAATATCTTCTAGAAAAATAGAAGAGATACTTCCCAACTAATTTCATGAAACAAAATGACTGTTTTTTCTTTATAGCACTTTAAAGGTTACTTCACTGCCTCTTGATTTGCATGGTTTATTTCCAGAAGTCTGATATGATTCTTATTTCTGTTCCTCTGTAATTCCTTTCTTCCTCTGGCTTGCTTCAAGAGTCTATCTTTACCTTGTTGCCAGCAGTTTAAATAAAGGTAGGTGTATTCTTTTTGTTATTTACCCTATTTAATTTCCTTGAACTTCATAGATTTTTGGTTTGGCATTTGTCATTGACTTAGGGAAATTCCTAGCCATTTTATTCAGCCCCACCATCCTCTCTTTTCCTGTTTCCTTCTGTGATTCCTTTTACCTGTATGTAAAAGCACTTGATATTATCCAACAACTTCTGATGACTCTTTTTGTTTTGTTTTGGCTTTAACGTCTTTGTGTTTCAGTTGGGTAATTTCTATTTGCTCTACCTTTCAATTCACTGATTCTTTCCTTGGCTGTGTCAAGTCTATTGCAGGGCTCATCAAAGCTACTACTCACCCATTATTTCTAGAATTTCCATTTGATCCTAAAAGCTTCTATCTGCTGAATTAACATACTAATTGTAGGTTTTTTAAATTTTCTGTCAACTAATTCTAACACCTGTGTTATATCTAATTCAGATTCTGATTTCTATTTTGTTTCTGGAAATTGTGTGTGGTGTTTCCCTACTCTTTGTATACCTTATAACTTTTGCTGTAAAAGCAACATCTTATGCAGGGTGCTAGGCTAAGATAAACAGTTTGTATGGTAAAAATGGGTCCAATTTGCCTTCTGCTAATGTCATTAATGTTTCTCCTAGCTAGCTATACCCGAGAGTGGAAAACAATCTATCTCTGTTTCTGAGACATTTTCAATAATCTACCTTAGTATTTATAAATTCTTCTCTCTGCTTTTTCTAGAAAGACATTCTGTAAAAAGCTCTGATAAATAAGCGTTAATTAGTATATCCCTACCAAGCAGATATACCTCAGGCAAAAGCAAAGAACTACTCTGAACATTGTAGGCAGCATTACTGGGGGGTGGGGGGTGGTAAATACAAGGTTATTTGAGCTGCTCTGAACCACGTGAACTATTCCGTACACCCCAGTGTGCAGACTGACCGCATCAGTGGCATCCCTCCACTCCTCCCTGCCCCGTGCCCTTTGCTATTGACTGTATGTCCTGCAGTGGGTGTGCTCACTTGCTTATACAACTTGATTGGTTTTCAAATCATGCCTTCAGCCGTTGCTATGAGAACATGTCCAAGCTTGCCGTGGACACTCACAGGCCCAGTTATTCTGGTCCCTCTTGCTGACAGACATGGAAATGATCCCCTAGATGGGAAGAATTGCCTAACCAAGGCCAGACTAAACTGCAAATCCACAGATCCACAATTTAAATAAATGTTTTTCATTTCAAACCACTGAGTTTTAAGGTAAGAATAGAAAGCTGATATACCCAGTGGACCTCTGAGCATCCAGAGATCTGAGAAGCACTGATGCATAGTCTGACTCCCTGCATTCCACATCTCCTAAGACTCACTTCATGCTGATTTGCAAACATGCTAGAAGCCAGCCTTGTGAATATCCCACTATTACAGTGGTGCTTATTTTAAACAAAGTACATAAAACCTGACTCAGGAGGCTTGTGTGCTGAATACTAATTTCTACTTCTTCCTAAGGGAGCATCGATAAAACAGATACAAGTCTCCATTTTTGCTGGAGCCTTTGACATTTCGGAAGCCCACTCGTAGGTCCTTTGGCTTAGGGTAGCAGTTTCTAAGTCCCGGGCTGGGCTGGGCAGGCTGAAACACCACAGACTAGGAAGGGAGGAAGACTCTCAGACCTTCTCCTGAGAGTCTCATTCAGAAATGCCTGGTGCATCTCAGGAACCTGAGTATTTCAACAGTTCCCCCAAGGTCACAGCACATTATTGTGTTAAGTTGATCGATGATCACTGAACTGGATAGTTTCCCCAGATTGTCTGCTGAGTGCCATCTACTGACACAAAGTCCTTTCATCAGACTATTCTTTATACAGATTATATATGACATCTGCATCCAAGTGAGGTCATAGTATAATTTATAATTTAGATGCCCACCTATTTCCAATACCAATTAAAGGAAATACTATTTCATACAGCTAATGGACACAAAATTGAAATAAAACATCAGACAACAGAGAATTGGAAAGACAAATGAACAGTCAGACTAGCATGCTTACTTAATAAGTGGTTCTGAGTTTCTTAGCAGCAAAAGCAAAAGATAGTAAAATAACCCTGTAATTCTTACCAAATGGGGAAAAATGTATCAAACTTTCAATAAGACTTTTCTAGAGCTGACTTCTAAAAGGAACTTAATTCTATAGATACTACTACAAAGTAATTTTGAACATAATGGAGAATATGTTAGTAGGGACAGAGAAATACTTTCTGGAGCTGTTTTGTGAAAGAAACTTATGCAGGTTCAACTGCATAGGGAAATTTGAGTAACAAGAACAGTTGTATAACCAACAGAGGTTGGACAGAAAATAGTTTTCCAGCATCAATCTCCAGAGGCACTTCTGGGCAAAGGCACAGGGATGAGGCTTTCATGTGATCTTAACTTTTCTTAGGGGAAACACTGAAGTCATCTAGAAGATGTGATCAAGAGTAGGGTGGTATGGACTTGGGGCCCTCACAGAGGAGGAAATGGACTCTACCCTATCTACTGGGGAACACCTGAAGGACTATCTGGTGGAGTTATCAGTCCACTCTTGTGACTAAGAACCCACATTCTGGATGTTGACTTCATTAAACCCAGGCAAAGGGACCCAAGGGAGGCCTCAGAGGGAGAGGCGGGAGCAGATTCTGAAGACAGCATAAAACTTTCCATTCCAGAGAGGTGTTTCTTCTCCTCTGCGAACTCCATAAAAGCTAACAAGGTTTTGCTGCTTTTAAACTACACTAAGGTGGGAGAGTTGTCCCAGCAGGGAGGTGAGGCCGAGGGGCTCTGTCCTGCCCACCAGGGCCTTCCTTCAGCTGCCCCCATTGCCACACTCTCGCCCTGGAGCACGGCACGCCGCCCCTCAGCCTGAAACAGTCCCGCACCTGCCTGCCTCTTCTGCCTCATCTGTAGGGTCCCCACTGAGACGTCACTGACACCCAAAGCCTGGAGAGAATCCCATATTGGTGCCCCCACAGTGTCCTCCCTTCTCTAGGGAAGCCCTTATCTGAGGGGCTGAGAGTGTTTGGGTCCATAATGACACCGTGAGAGTAGTCACTGAGCCCCCAGTTCACTGCCGCGTCCTCACTGGTAGCAGGGTCGGCAGAGCAGTCACTCCAAAGATGGGTTTAGTGGGTGAGCCGGTAGGGGTGAGAACACTCCTCTACTACACAACAGGAACAGCAGACACCTACACAGGCCTTCCAGGTGCCAGGCCTCCTCCAGCCACAGATAGACGTGCAGGTCTGAGATTGGCACCCAGGCAGTCGGCTGGCACCTGGAAGGCGACTTTCTGCTCTGATCAGTAAACAGGGTGAGGCCAATGACCACTGCGGTGTTACACCTGGCCTGCCCCCCACAGCATGCCCACAGTGCACTCCTGCTGGACCAGGTGGGAGGTGACACACACCTGTAGGGGCCCAGGGCAGGAGGTGGTCTCGGCCACTGTCCACACAATCCAGCCCTCTCAGAAAGCCCAGAGGCAGCCAGCTGCAAGACCACAGCACCACCAAGGTTCCCCAGTGTGCGGGTCTGTTACAGCAGAACCTATGAGTAACAGGAGGAGAGAGGCACAGAACGAGCACCTTGCCGGGGCCGCTGCCTGCAGGGGAGACCGGGAGCTCAGGCGGGCTGGACCCCGGCGCGGGTCCAACAGGGCTTGACCGGTGGCTGGGTTTCTGCTCAGATAATCCAGCTGCTTTTTTCCTCTGGGCGGCGATTTGGGACAGGACACTGTCTATGCTGCCACCTGAGGAGAGAGGGCAGGAGTGAGGCCATGGGCCCAGTACAGTACACTGTGCTGGGCACCGTGTGCCAACCGGCTGAGCAGGGCCTGTGTTTCCCACACGTGCCCCTGCAGTGGCTCTGGGTCAGGGCTGACCACAAAGGACTGGAAGGTGACCAGCAGGCAGGGGCAATCTCAACCCAAGGTGTCAAGACCAGAGGTGGTGAGGAGCAGAGGCAGTTTGTCCTCGCCTTCCCTGCAGCAGGGCTGGCTGGAGCTGGATCACACGGCTGCCGGCCGCCCCCCGCTCCCCGTCCCCCGCCACAGGTCCTCCCAGCCGCTGCACGTGCCCATCCAAGCCCCGGCCCACACCCCTTTCGTGCCTTTACATCCCAAGCAACTCCGCTAGTTTGTGTCAATAACTTCTTCATTCTACAAATCCCGCTTGCCAAGTTCCCTGTTTTGCCAAATCTACCAGCCAGCTTGAAACATGATGAAAGAGGCGAAGAGCTGCCCAGGCAGAGGGCGGGAACTAGAGGAAGAACATGGGAAATTCACATCTGTAGAGGCGTGCCAGGTGCCACGCATGCTGTGCGTGTTTCGCATGTGTAAGCAGAGCTGTTCTGAAGGGATGTTTTTAAAAACAGATAAACCCATTGTCCCAGCCCAAGGGACAATTGTCCCTGATTCAAGGAAACTCAGGTTGAGGAAGTCACTGAGCAAAGGTCCAAGTACAGAGTGTGAGGGCGCCACCTTGCTGGGGTGCCGGGAGAACAAACGTTCCCCCAACCTCAGGGTTCCACAAGAGGGAACAGGTTACATCAAACTGAGATAATTCAGATGAGCAGAGCACTGTCTGGCTAACACAGAGATGTGGTGCTGGCCCTCAGTAAAGGCCAAGTTTGCAGAAGCTGTTGGTTTCCAGCGGGAGCCTAAAGAAATGTCTTTGTACGGTCTGTTGGCCACTTCAGAACTGCAGAGACGTAATGGTCAACTTGTTAGAGAGAAAAATCTGCAGCATAAAGTAACAAAATAGAATGAAAAGATGTCGTAGAGGTGTGTGTTGACATAAAAGGTGTTCACAGGATGATGTGAACAGGATGATGTGCAAAGTGCAAAGCATTGCAGAGCAGCTGATACCCCGACGTTAGCCTGCCTGGCTCCAGGCCCTGGCTCTGCTGTGTCTCGGCTGTGTGGCTCTGGGCAGTTACATGGGCGAGACACCCCCCGGGTTGTTGGGGGATGATACAAATAATCCACTTATAGGACTTCACACTATGGCTGACACATACTAAGTGCTTAAGAAATGATTATGCAGCTTTCATAAATGTGCTACACATAAAATTAGCCTGCACAAAGATAAACACCAAAATGTCGATGATGAGTTCTAACGGGTAAGACTGTACCTTTTCTTTCCTTCCTTTTTTTTTTCTTGGAAGTCTTCTGCCTTATTTGATCTCAGAGATTTTTCCACAAGAAGCACACTTTCCTTCTGGAATGGCATGAAGCGGGGGGGCTCGACCTGCAAAGCTAGCTTTCTGAGTACTCTCGGGGAAGGCTAGTAAATGTGCTGTGAGCCCTAACATAACTCGGGCACACCTGTGGAGTCCTGATGGTCACCCCTTGCAGCGTGTCCCTGAGCAAACCTCTTGTCCACTCTGGGCTTCAGTTTCTTTATCTGTTCTGTGAAGGTGAGGGATGAGGAGTTCCTCTAAAGTTCAAATTTCGAGTAATTTAAGCACCATGAAAGCATCAAGTTAATCGCTTATATAAATTTCCAAGACAACAAAGCATTAGACAATTTATTTTCTCCTCCTTCATTCCCCAAGAAGATACATAAAAGAAACCCTGAATTGTAAATACACTGAAAAATCCCACCCAAAATAAAGGCCTGTGTACAGCATGCATTTCCAGGGCTATCCCCAGAACAAGCGCAGGGGGCCGTTCAGACCCTCAGTTCCACGGGCTCACCCCACCTCCCCTGCGGGGCCCCGCCCTGCACGGACACCCACCTGAGCGGTTATGCAGCTCCCCGACGTGCCTGCCCCCTACCCCGCTGGAGCCGCCCGAGGAGTGAGGAGAGTGGTTGAAGTTTCCAGAGTTGGCCGGAGAGGCTGGGCTTCTGGAGAGAGATGGAAACTTAACCGGCCTGACAGGAGTCTGCAAGAATAAGGTGAGTATTCAGGTTAGAGTTTGTTGTTTTCTCTGGACACAAGTTGCCATGGGCAGCGACCAGGAGTTTAACTGGCCAACTCCTGGCTGATGCTTGCATCAGGTCAGCAAGAACGTCCAGGCATCCCTGAGGTCCCCAGGGGGATGGGAACTCGCCTCTCTGCACGGAAGCAGCCCTGTTAGTTTAGGATGAGCCCATGTATGGCTTCCCCTGGGTCACCCAAGTCCTAAACTCACATTGGCCCTGCCCGCTGACCAGCCTCAGGGGCAGACGCCTGGTGTCCCCTAGGGCTCACTATACTACGCCTAGGGAGGCAGTGGCGAGCGCTGGGGTCAGCCCACTTTACAGAGACGAGGCCCCGAGTTTCTCCCGTCACTCAGCACATGTCAGCAGTCAAAAAGCAAATCCCCATCTTCAATTTGCTGTTTACAGAGACAGTCTGCACATGTAGAGAGTCTGGGCCGAACTTCCTAGATACAGACCAAGGCCACGAAGTCAGGATCACTATGCTCAAAGACAGAAGTCACCCTCCTTCTGGGTGCAAGAACACACCGGGAGCACATGTGGTCGCCTCCTGGTTTGCTCTTGGTCAGGAACCCGAGCAACACTGTAGTATGGAACTTGACTGGAAGCCAGGAACAACGCTGGTCCCCTGTCCACCTCACCTGTCAGGGACGTTCAGAAAATTACTTCTTTTCTTGGGGTGCCAGTTTTCTTAAAGACTAAAGGGAAGGCTAGATTAGAGCAGGTCTTCAGACTGTTCCTTGGCGCTGCAGGGTTCCAAAGAAGCACCGAGAAGAGGGGCTTGGGGCTTTTGCTTTCATTCTCATGGCAGCAATACCTGTTTATGTATTAAATTCCTTTGTAGGATTTCACTAGACAAAAGGAAGCATTTATTTAAAAGAAAACCAGTTTCATGCCTCCTGGATTAGCAGGTCTGCGGCTACCTCCACCTGTAACACTTTATGATTTCAGTGAGCACTAGTGAGAGACGCATCAAAGCAAGTCCGGGGGGGGCCACTTACAGTGTCTGTGCCCCCACCGCCGGTGGGGTGGCCCCTGCTGCCTCTCTGGGGCAACACAGTCTTCACGGGGTCTGCTTTCCTGCTGTGACAAGTCCGGGACCCATCAGAGCTCCACAGCTCAAAGCTGGAAGGGGGCAAGAAAGGGGGGATGACTGCCTTCAGCTTGTCGCTCGGGAGTCTGGTGAAGGGGGCTCCATTGCGAAGCTGGAAAAGACAGGCAGTGGGTTAGACAAGACCCAGGAGGGCTCAGGCTCTAGGAGAAACACCAGAACTTTCTTGCCTTGCTGAGAATGGCACCACCGTCTACCCAGCCACCCGAGCACCCTCGTGCTGTCCTCCCGCCAAGGAGCAACACGCGGCCTCTCGAGGCTGAGCCCCAGGGCAAGGTTAGAACAGGGACAGAGTGGGTGGAGAGCTGAGGTGCAGTCAAGGGGTGCTGGGTATGCCGTGAGGAGGTGCACTGGAGAGGAGAGCACACTTCAGCTGAGCCCCGAGGCCACGGCAAGTGGTGCGGCAAGGATGGAGAAGGGCACGGCGGCTTGCAAGGAAAGGAAAGGCCTGGAGGTGAGAGGAGCAGGACAAGGGTGCAGAACTGCAAGGAGACCGGTGTGGCCAGAGCAGGGGGCCCCAGGAGAAGGGGCGCGGCGGCGCGGGAGACTGGGGGATGCAGGCTGGCTCTGAGGCCGCGAGCCCAGCAAACCACCTTTTCCGTCCCGCCATATCCTCCTTACTCCGGCCACACCTCCCACTGATGACATTTTAAACTGTAATTTAATTTCAAATTTTGCAAATGTGATCTGGGGCCGGTATCAAATCCACACCATGATGACTGGTAGATAGTCAAGGAACAGCCTTCACACAGTCCAGACTAACTTTAATTAAGGAAAGACAGTGAACTTGATACCAGATGGTGCTTTGCAGGGAAGGGCGTCCCACAGCTAAACCTGCCTCAGGAGCCGAGCGGGCGGGCCGCTCCTCAAGGATGCTGCAAACGCCCACTCAGCAGGGCAGCCTGGCCATCCTCCATCTGCCAGGGCAGACGGGCACATCGGTGCCCCCTGCAGGGCACATGGGGTGGGACAGGGTGAGCGCAAGGAGGAGGGGCTTCCTGGGTTCCCACCCTGGCTGTCCTGGGCTTTACTGAGAGTGTGATCAGATACTGACCTGGAAGACCTCAGCAAACACATCTGGCAAGGGGGGGGGGGCTGGCTGGAAATGACATTCACAGTTGCAAACCCACCACAGATGGGCATTTTCACTCTCTGGGGTGAGAATCTAAACTGTTGCAAACTTTCTAGAAGGCAGTGACATTTACATGCTTGGGCTCAGGAATTCTGTTCCTGAGCCATGGAAGTATCCCCAAAGAAGTAATCAGGCAAGTGGGGGAAACTGAGGCATAAGGAGAGTCCTCAGGACTGTTAGCACAATGCAAACAAGAACAATGGGCAAGTCTTAGGAGAGGGGGACAGAACCCACATGTGGAATGCTGAGTCGAGGTAAAAGACATGGAAAAGGTGTCCCGGCAACTTGCTAGCAAGTCAGCTTAGCACAACACAGAAGCCGGCAGTGGTTACCTCACTTGCTTACTGGGGAAGATTAAGTGAGGGAGTATGTATAAAGGACCACGTAGCTGCTGGTACTTGGTAAAGGCCATGTTTAGTAATTAGCATCTCTAATGGGGTCATCATACTCAGATACTAAAAGATGGTCAGGCAAGTATCACTGGTCAGGTAACCACACCAATGGTTAGGTATACGTTGTATATACCATAAAGTGCCAACCATGGTTTTATCTGAGTGCATAATCAGGGTGATTTTATTTTTCTTTGCATTTTGTGCATCACCGAAAAATGTCAATCATAGCATTTCTGTCTTCACACTGAATTATTGCTATTTAATACTGTTATCATATTCCCACAGACCGTGTGAGAGACACCAATTTACATCTATTGCACAGTTGGGTGAGGGGCAGGCACAGAATGGGGCACAAGTCAGGACACTCTGGGGCTGGCGCAGGGTCAGCCCTGAGGCAGCTCCGGCCTTCTGCATGTTGGCTCCATTCTCCTCGCCAACACTGCCCTCTCCTGGCCCTCTCTCTGGATTAGGGTCTCAGAACTATGGGACTTAGTTCACAGCTACAAAAGGCTGTGGCTTCAGTGAACATGAAGCTCAGCACCGTGAGGAAACAAGTCCAGGGTCACACTGGACAAGTGAGAGTATGTTCTGGGCCAGACCCTATGCTAAGAATTTCCTGGCTATGATCTCATTTAAAAAGCATGAGAACGATAGACCCCGAGGTCAGAGACTGCTGTCCTTCAGTTCCCCTCTTTCACATCTTCCTTAGTAGACACTCCTGATACTCAGGTGGATACACAGCCCACCTGAACATCATTCCCCAGCCTCTGGGCACTGTGGTCATGTGCTAAAAGTTTGGCCAATTTGATGTCATGTGTGGCAATTTCATCAAAGACACCTGATGTGCACCTATGGCCACCTCTTCTGCCCATGTTTCTTGCTAGCTGGAAGGAGGTAGTAATGGCCAGAGCTCTGGCAGCCTTCTTGGGCCAAAAGGTGATCTTGGGAATAGATCTAGAACAGCTGTTCATTGGTCAGCAATGGTTCTAGAACAGAACCATCCAGAAAGAACCTGGATGCCTAACTCCATGAAACAACACACCAATCCCAAACATTACTTGAAGAAAATAAGCTGTTATCTTATTTATATCATTGTTACTTGGGGATTCGTCAAACCTAATCCCCTAGCTTATAGATGAGGAAACTGAGGGCTCGCCACGACCCCTTTCCTTGTGCTCTCTGTCATGGTCAAGTACTACGTCTCCGGTCAATGGCGCCTTCGAGGCCCAGGTGCACTGCCACCTCCCTGAGACGGGATCAGGCTTACATGGGGCCACTACGCACCAGAGTGTCAACCACGGTTTAGGGTTGACATCAGTTCTGACTCCTTGAGCCGGAACTTTACCTATGGATACAGCAAGCCCATCTGTGATGTTCACAAAGGAAGACAAAAAAGTCCACATCCCTCCTTGTAAATCAATCAACTAATGATTGGTAGAGACATGAAGTGCTTTTAGACAAGCCCCACACTCACCATGGTTGTCAATAACACATCTTCCTTTTCTCCTCTGGTGCTCCCAGGACCTGGGAGACAAATGGAAGTTTCCTGAAATGACTCCTCCCCCACGGCCCCCAACAGGCTCAGAGCACGCGGGTGAGTGACCAGATTGGCCTTCATCCTGGAAAACCAACTCTCTTGGGTGATTAAATATTTAATAACAATTGGTATTCAATATTTGAATAAAAGGAAAGCATTTAGAAAGTATCTCAGGGCATGTTTTCAGCTTTTCCGTAATCCACAGCCGAGCTGGGTCAGACAGTGTGCACCCTGTCAATAGTCTGTCTCAAAACAGTGGTGCCGAAGGAGCTGGTCTGGGTGTGGGGAATCTGATTGTTAGAATGGATCGGATCCAGAGACCCAATCAATGAGACAATCTTAATGCCCAGCAGAGTCACCCACTACTTCCAGTGTTGAGGAGCTCACTACCCACCTCCCCCTGCGCTCCCAGTCAATTCATTCTATCTCAAAGGTCTTCCGGGCCAGAGCCCCACCACACCTGGCAGATGGGCAGACTGCCTGTGTAAGGTGAGAGGCTGTGCCTGGTCTATGGCCTGCAGCAGCGTGTTGGGGACAGGGCCTGGACTCTCACCACCAGCTTCCCACTCCCCTGAAGCAGCGCTGTCCCTGCAGACCAGCACCTGACATCAGTCCAGGAGGCAGGACAAAGCCCCGGGGATGCAGGTGTGTTCATGCTGGAAAGTCAAGCCATGTGCGGTTTTTTCTTACCACTGTCTTTGGTTGTGGGAGGCACTTCCGGGAGCCCAGAACGACTGGTCTTGTCCTGGGGGGCCGCCCTCATGGTGGAGTCCAGGGCTGGCTCGGGCTCATCACAGAAAGGCAATGGCTGGTTGCTGGATAGCCCACGGGGCAGCGTCTGCATCAGCTTGAGCTTCCGGAACCGATTGGACATTCGGCTCCACCAGGACTACCAAGGGAGCACAGGGCAGAGGTCATGACCCTGAACAGCCAGCCCAGGGAGAGGGGTCCACTTCACACATCCTTCCAACCCCTCTGCCCCACCACAGCACCCCAGCTCCTCTTCCCAGCAAGCCATGCATCCCTCTAGGTCCTTGGTCCCGGAGGCGGCTATATGCCTAATCCACCACCCTCCATACGAACAACCTCCTCATTCACAGATTGAGAAATGGAGGCTCAGAGAGGGACACCAACCTGCTCTTCATCTCACCATGAGGCAGGGATAGACATATGGCATGAAGGCAATGCCAAACACCTCGACATCTATCAGCTCCTTCCAGTGACAGCACGAGGAGCCCAAGGCCTGGGCTCTCTGCCCCACAGCTGATGCCTCCCCCGACAGGCAGAGGATAGGCACCACCCCTTGGGTGTCCTTATAACCCCCGACAGCTCAGAGGTTCCGGGCACAGCCCACAGGGAGGCGGGGCCGGGCCCACAGAGATGGCAGTGAGTACAGGCATGAAGGGATCCATGTGAACAGCACAATGAGGGAGAACCGGGGGCTGGAGAGAGCAACAAACACAAAGGAATACCAAGTCTGCAGAGCTGAGAAGGCGCTGGAACCCCCGCAGAACAGGGACTACATAAGTTTGATGTCAGACAAGCAGAACAGGATGAGGAAGATGAGAAATCAGAGGCACAGTCAGCTTGCAGTTAGAAATAAGCAACTGGAATCTGCTTGTCGGGTTTCCAGGAAGGCGCTGAGGAGGGCAGAGGACACAGGGAGGCCCCAGAATGGGCCAGTTAGCAGATCCCCCCACACTGAGGCAGACCCCGCAGACAGACGCCTGGCGAGGAGAAGGGCTGTGTGGTCTGCTCAGCTCCACACTGTGCAAGATGTTTTAAGCTCCCCACATTTATAGACTGAGCTTGCACATCTGGATTTCTAGCTTCTCCTGGATGAAAAGGGAAGATGTGGCCACCTGGACCCACACTCTCAGAAAGCAGCCGCTGCTGCCGCTAGTGGTCACGGTCGCCCCGGTTTCCTCCTGCTCAGCTGCAGCTGACTTCCCTCCCCAGCTGGACCCCTTCAGTCCAGGCCCCCCAGTGCTGGGTGTAAGAAGGCAGCAGGCAGCTCCTCCCCACCAGCCTGGCACCTGAAAGCCTCTAACATGGGAGAAGCAAACCTTCAGGCCACCTTTGTCGCTGGGCAGCACCGGGACGCTCCAGGGCTGCCGGGCCTTCGCGTGGGGCGGGGGCGCTGGGTGGCTGGGCCGGCCTTTGTCCTTATTCACCTGCATGCAGACAGATGCCAGCAGTCGAACAAGTTCCGTGTCTATGGACGCAAAAGGCAACATTTTACCTGCATATATGTCTGCTGGGTGGCGGGGAGGGCACGCAAAGTGACCCCACCAGCCTCAGAGCTCAGTCCGGAGCGCTTCAGTCTGCTTCTCAGGCTCAACAGGTCAGCCGCTCCATGTGATCTCCAAAAGGGGGCAAAGAGAAGCCAGCGGGGTTTAACCCGCTGAGCCAGAAAGAAGCAACAGAAGCCTCTCTCTTCAGAAGGGTGGGGGGTTCCCAGGTTCTCCCTCTTTCAGCTCAAACTCCAGGGTAATAAGAGATGGCGGAAGAGAGCGCCCCAGCCCCTTGAAGCCTTGGTCCTAGAGAGGGGCTGTCACAGGGGAGGGGGGTCAGAGCGAACAGCCGATGCCATCCAGGGACAGAGAGAGGCGGGGCTGCTGGTGGAGGCTTCCCCTGCACAGCACCACGATGCAGCAACCTGGAGTAACTGAGTGGAGGGTCGCTGCTTGTCCAAGTGGCCTTCCATGTCCTCCCTAGTCGCTTGGTTTCTGGCTATGAAGTAGATGCCAGGCAGGGTTTGTGTGGACTGCCTAGGTGGCAGCTGCTGCTTAGAGAAGCCTCGGGGACCGCCAGGCCAAGTGGAAAGCTGGGGATGTTGGGGAGCTTGAGAGAGGCTTCCCCAGGAATAATCAACTGCTTAAAATACGGGTGACCTCATGCTTAGCCAGAGAAAGACCAGGCGGGATCGCAACCCTTCTCCCGAAACAACCCACCAGGATCACTCAGCAGCATCACCAGGTCAAAGGCCGTGTACCCGTTTTTTGCACGAAGAGTGACATCAGCCCCTTGGTTTAGCAGATATGTGACAATTTCCTTATTCCTGGGGAGGAAAGAAAAGGCCAACATTAGACTCCACAACCCCAAAATTCAGGGTCCTGAAGCAAGGAAGTACACACAGGCCAACTGTCTGATGTGGAGGTTTGAACTCCTCACATAAAAACTGGTGCAACGGGTTAAGTCTCAGCCCTATGAAACTAGCTGCAGCCACTGCAGCACGAATTCCATCCCCAGCCCTGGAGCTGACCCACATGGCGCAGCAGACCTCTCCTGTCTCACCCGCTGCTCCCCTCAGCAGTGTATTTCAGTAGGTCTACCTGTTCTGCTCCCCACTCTGTGTCTGAGGAATCCTCTCACCCCTCCTCCCCCCACATCTCTGGCCTATACTCCAGTTCTTGTATGCATAACAAATAAATCCTTAAAAAAATAAAAGTAAAAAGCTGCTTTGAGATCATGCAGGAAGAGCTATGATCGCTTGCAACAGGGCCAGGGAAGTGTCCCTAATTTGCAGTCAGACCACACAGCAGCTGTGACAGCATGCAGCCTGCGACTCAGTCAGCCCAGCCCTGGAGGTGGCCTCTAGGCGGCATAGGCAACAAAGTAGAGCCTAGTCAAAAGGGGAGCCCTGGGGGGAGCCTCACCACAGGATGCCCCCAAAAGCCATGCATTAATGACCGATGTTCCTTTCCAGTCAAGACCACTAAAGGAAGCCATGCACATCACTGCAAAAACGCCAAATGAGCCCATCAAGCTGTTCAGTGCAAATCAACCTATAGAAACTTATCTTTCTGCATAAAATGCTTCTGCTCCATGGTTTTTCACCCACTGGCAAAATTCTGTACCAAGATGACAGAAATGTGGAGGGGGAAGGGGGGATGCAGGGGAGACTGAGCCTGACTGCTCTCCTCTTGCCATTGTCCCACCCCTCACAGCCCTGGGGTTTGTCTGCAGCATCTCAGGATTCTGAGTCCCTTCCAGAACCCTTATCTCAGTCCTTAGCCTGTGGCCGAGAGAGTGTGGCTGGCACTGACCCGTGGTAGGTGGCCTGCATGAGGGCCGTCCAGCCATGGACGCTGTCCTGCTTGTCGATATCGGCATGCCTCTCCACCAGCAGCTGCACGAGGGGCAGCTGTCCCATGACCGCTGCCAGCATCAGTGGGGTCGCTCCGTCCCCGTTGACCAGGTTAACATGGTTGGGGTCTTCATCAGCAATTTCTTTGACCAGCTGGAAGTTTCCTGCAAACAGAAGTAGGAGTCATGGTGGTCTCGGGAGGCTAGTATCACAGGAGGGATGATTCACCCATAGGGTCATGTAACAGACACTACCAGCCTCTCCCTGCCTGGGTTGCTGGGGATGACACAGACAGAAATCCCTCCCTCGGGGATCTCTCCCCTTCCTGGCCTGGGAGAGATAGGAGTGTTGGAGCACATAACACAGGTAGCCATACTACAAGAGAGAAGGGATGCTGATGTCCTAAGATAACAGAGGGAGAGAGATGAGGGCAATCATATGCAGGAGAGGAGGGGTTGAGGACCTGAGGGCTGGAGGGCTTCCTGGAGGCAGCATCTCTGTCAGGAGAGGAGGGTTAGGCTCAGTAGCTCTCCATCACAAGAGAGTGAAGAGGGGGGTGGGACAATCAGGCATTTCAAGGAGCAGAGAAGAGCCAGGACATAGCCCCAGGGGAAGCTGGGGAGGGAGAGAGCCTGGGAGGGCTGATGAGTCTGTATAAAGAGCCACAGTGCCTGCCAGACTCCAGGTTCCCCACTCCCTGGGTGAATGTTTCTTTCTTTCTTAAATACTCTGGGTGACCTTGAAAAGGACTACAAATATGAGATTGGAAGAATGTGGCACTGTATTCTTCAATACCCAAAAAAGATTTTCTAAAATACTTGCTTACCCATTTTCAATGCATGGAAAATATCAGGTCGCCTTTTCTCCTCATCTGGGTAAACAGAGATTTAAAAAGTTAACCACACAAAAGTTTGATATAACCAGAAAGTCACAAGGGTGTAACTATACCATCTAGCTTTTAAAATGATGCCCTTTCAAAAGCAATCTGACCAGAGACACCTGTAACAGGTGAACCCAGCAGTCTTCTAAAAGGTTATTACTAAAGGATGTTAGAAAACATTTGAGACAGATCTTAGAAGGTGACTTGGTCAACAAAACAGAAATGAACAGCGAGCAGATCATTCCTGATCCCACACTTGTAAGCAATCATTTTCATGCAACCCAAACTTTGAGTTGTCCTTTCCTAGATATAGTAGAGAGTTCAGTCTTGGAAAAATCTGAATTCCTATGACAATTTCAGAAAGAAACTGGTTCTTTCCTCCTGAAAACTACGCGACCATGAGACACAACTCCAAAGCAGAGGGCTGGGAGCCATGGTCACCGAGAGAGCCACTGTTCACTCTGCTTCCTTCCCAATGAGAAACCATCTGACTGGGGTCATAAGTCATCCGGCTCAGGACCTGCAGACACGGCTGCCTGGAGGTGACTGTCCACCTGGTCTTCAGGCCGGTCCCTACAGGGAAGTGGTCGGGACCCCCACACTTGCCCACAAACCTAGGTCCCGCTGCACCCTCTCAGTGTGAGCTACCCCTGTCCCGCACGACCGTCACCTTCTTCCAACCGTGGGTGGAGGCCCTGCTCTTTACGCCATGAGCTGAGCTGATGGCCCAGTGCAGGTGTTCCTGCAGCAGGAGCAGCTAGAAGAGGAATCCTATGACCTGGACTAAATCTCTGGCCCGGATCAGCCCCCAGGGTGGCCGGGAGGAAGCTGCAGGTTCAAGAGCACTGGGTAAGGGGTCAGCATATCTGTGTCCAGAGTGGTTGCTCTGTGTCCCACCATCTCTGTCAACAACAGGGCTGTGGAGATCATAAGACAGATGGGAAATGATTCAAAAAGGGCTAGGCCTTGTTCCAACAGTAATTCTAATTGTTTTCAACCATCCCAGCAATGACAACTACTAACCAAGTGATTCCTAGGATGTATAGACAGTTCCATGTATCCAAATTTTGCCTGTGCATATTACTAAGAAATGATTCTACATCTCAAGTTTTAAAAATATATGCCATGTACTTTTAAGTGTAAGAGTCTGATTTGCTGTGGACAGGGTCTTCCCTAACTCTTTCAACAAAAAAGAGCCATCGTAACAGCCTGGGCTGCCTTGGTCCAGTCACTGAAATCACACCCAGCACAGAGAGAGGGGTCTAAAGGGTGTGAGAGGCTGGATTTCAGGGTCCTGCTATGAATGACAATGAACCAGAGGTTTTGAAAGGTACGATGTCCTTAGATATGCTAAGAAGTGTTTAGAAAGCCCCAAAACGCCAAAAAGATGACAAAAAGAACAAAGAAATAGGGCACACAAATAGGTGATCACAGAAAAACTCCAAAGTGGACCGAAGTGAATGTGGGCTCGTCTCTGGAGACAGATACTGGCAGAAGTCAGGCGCACTGTTCTAGAGCAGGGGCTGGCCAACTACAGTTGGTGACCCAAATCTGCCTGGCCACCTATTTTTGTAACTATAGTTTCACTGGACCACAACCAATGCCACCCATTTACATATCACTGTGACTGCTTTTCCTCCAGCAGAACTGAGTGGTTCTGACAGAGGCTGTGTGGCCCCCAGAATCTGAGGTTTTTATTATCTGGTCCTTTGTAGAGAAGGTTTGCTGACCCCTGCTCTAGAAGGATCCAGAGCGCCTACATTGGAATCATCTGGCTAGGGAGGAGGGGCCTGGCTAGGCAGATTTCCAGGCTCTTCCCCCCATGACCAAACCGTCTCTGAGGGTGATCTGGAAACGTGCACAGGACAGGCATGCCCAACAGGTCCTGAAGCACAGCAGCCACACCCCACTGCTCTGGAAACTGGACCCACTTTCCACTTGCCCTTCTGGTTGGGAAATGAGGGGTCCTCTTTGAGGCCTGGCAGGAACAGAAGGGCAGCCTGACCTGTCTTGGGCCTGACGGTGGTCAGCGGATCCAGGTAGTCTACAAGGTCTCTGTGCTTGCGGTCAAGTGCGACCTCAAAGGCGGTCTTCTCCAGCACACTGAGGTGGTCAGGGTTGGCCCCCTTCTCGACCAGCTGCTGAGCCACCCCAAGTCTTCCGGTGAGCGCTGCCAGCATGAGCGGGCTCCAGCCCACAGTCCGGGCTGTGTGGTTGGGGTCGGCACCCCACTCCATCAGCAGACGCATCACAGCCTCGTGCCCATGTTGGATGGCGGCCATCAGGGCCGTGATGTCCAGCAGCTCGTCCCTGCTGCCCCCTGGCTCCAGTTGCTCGCTGGAGGTGTTATGAGGGTCCACGAAGGCACCAGCTTCCAGGAGCAGCTTCACCACACCCAGGTGGCCACCTCGGGAGGCGACAGTGAGCACACTGACCCCGAGCCGGTTCTGGGCATTGACATCAGCCCCGTGGTCCAATAGGAGGTGTGCCACGCTCACGTGCCCAAACCTGCCAGGAAAGTGGAGGACAGTGACAGTAAACAGAGCGTACAGGCAAGGAAACAGCACAGGTTAATCACTCAAGTTATGGCAGCTGCCTTCTCGGGACCAGGCACCGGGCTGGCCTCGCAGGTGAACCCGCAAAGGTGAGGGCTGCCCTGCAAACTTCAAATCTAGACAATGAGAAAGCACTTTAGCTTCTTCATGCATTTATTTGCTCATTGGTAAAGTGGAGGTGTAGTTGCTTCTACAAAGGACACTAAGAATTAATTGATTTAAGGTACAATCAATTTTTTTTAAAGATGTACTTATTTGTGCATACAGAACTGGGGTATAGGCCAGAGGTGCAGGGGTGGTGAGAGGATTCGCCAGAGACAGAGTGGGGAGCAGAACAGGCAGATCGACTGAAATACACTGCTGAGGGGAGCAGCGGGCGGGTCAGGAGAGGTCTGTCACATCTTGTGGTCACCTCCGGGGCAGGCGGGGATCAAACTCATGCTGTAGTGGCTTTAGCTTCTTAGTGCTGTGCTTTAACCCACCGCACCATCAGGAAGGGCCAAGGTATAATCAATTTAGAGCGGATAAAAAACACCTAGAACAGTTCGGCAAAGGAAAACACCAAGGAAATGTTAGCTATGGTATTTGCGACTGCTTTCCACTGTCAACACGCCTAGGTCGATCAGCTGCTAAGAGGCGGCGTCAAGGTCAGAAGCCAGATCTGCTGAATCCTCCCCATTCCCTTACGCCACCCTGTCTCCCACACCTCACAGAACTCTTTTCTCTGCTTTATAGCGCAGCAGTCGGCCTCTCAGCCTGTGCTGGATTTCCTCACCAGGAGGGCCTGTGTCTGATTCATGTTCCCCGTCCTCAGTCCCAAACACACATACACATACACAGGAGGCCCTTCCAGATGAGCCCAGGACCCCATGCCAGGAGGTGTGACGTGGCTGAGGGCAGCAGAGGGCTGCAGCACCTCTCCAGAGGCTTGCTGCCACCTGCTGGCGGGAATGTCCACTGCCAGAGACTGAGAACGGCCTGGGCGGGGTCCTCCTTGGTGAAGCTTGAGCTCAGGTCTGCTGCGAAGCCACGCTGCCTTTTGGGGAGACAAACGGCCTTTCCCCTCAGTTCTCTGGTGGCAAGAAGATTAAAACATGGTTTCCCAGCAAACACTCTCCCTTCTTATGCTGCCAGAGAGTAAAAGAGTTCTGTTGGCAGTGCGTTGGGCTGGCACCTTTTCTAGGTTCAGCAGTGTGTCAAAGCTGGAGAGGGCTGGAATCAAGGAAATCACAAGTAAAGTCAGTCTGGCTGTGCCAGCTTTTCCGTGGCCATACTGTCTGTATCGGCAAGGCAGCTTTCTGAGTTTCTGGAGGCAACGTTTGGGCCTCATCTAAACGTAGGGTCTCCCTGCTCCCTGTGGAAGCTAAGCCAAGGCTGAACTCTGGTCTGAACTTACAAATACCTTCTGGGACATGACCCTAAACAGCACAGGTCAGCGGCAGAGGGAGAGCTTGGTAAACTGGCTTCCCAGCGGCAGTGGCCTACACCTGTCCAGTTTCTTACCAAGAGTAGAGACAAGTCACACTGAAATTAAACTCAAATGCAGACAGCCACCACCTGCCTCCCTGCTGCCAGACGTCTTTCTTCCTCCCCGCCACACAGCCCTCAAAATGAGAATCCCCCAAAGTAAACCTGATGGGTCCTTCCTAGCATCCCACACGGAAAGGCCTGCTGATTGTGCTGGCCTCTCCCTCCCAACCTTCCAGCCACACTTACCTGTGCTCACGCTCGGCGCCTCACCCTTGCCTTTCATTCTGCCTCTCTAAGCAGAGTGTTCTCATCTCCTGTCTTCAGCACTGAGCACACCCTTTATCCTGCTTCAGGATTTAGTGGAGAGCTCACCTCCTCTGAGCAGCTTCCGGGCCACCCCCCACCCAGGTCAGGCACCCTCATCTGGGCACCTGCAATCCTGTCTTCACTTCTAATCACCTCCCTTCCTTAACTGTGTCTCTCCAGCAAGACTGGGCACTCTGCAACGTCAGGACTGGCCAGGACTGGGCTGCCGACTAAGGGTGGAGTTCAGTAAGCTGTCAGATAAGTGAGAGAATAAATGGAGGACTGCTATGAACAAGTCAGGGTAACGCTAGCATAATTCCTAGTCGCAAATCGTAAGGTACTATCACATTTTTAAAATCTTATTTGATCTTAAAAAAAAAAAAAAAAAACCGCTGATGAGGTGATTGTACTGCCCACTTCACAGGCAAGGAAGCTGAGATCAGAGTGGAAAGCCACATTCAAGTCTCTCAATTTGCATGTGACAGAGGCAAAAACTGAAAGGGCCCTTTCCACCAAAGAAAACCAGAATTCTGAATTTCTGAATTTACGCAGAAATTTAGAATTTGGAATGTTTTCTGAACTCATGGGAAGCCCAAGCGTTTATTTTCAGCTGAAAAATAAAAGGATCCAATGAAAGTTGAGCTACTGTGTGGAAGCTAAGTTTCAGAAAGGGATTAGTGGATATTAGGGGTGTTGGGGCTTTCTAAACAGCTGCTATTATCACACATTCATTTCAGCAAGTAACACCAGATTGTAAAGCCCTGGGGCTCACTCCAGAGCCCTGGGCTGGGATTCCAGATGTCACACAGGCAAGCAACTGAATGAAAGGTAGCTGAGGGATGTAAACAGGAAGGGGGAAGTTAGAGTGGAAGTTGCTGGGAGCTTCTTTCAAGACACACTGAAGAGCATCCATGTCTAGACAGCATCTGTCTGTCCTCATCGAAAAGTTGGACAGACCATATATCCTTCAGAAGTCTCTAGAACTTACCATTCCTCAACACAGATCTTCTGATGTGAATTAGGCAGAACCCTTGAGCACAACCCAACATCCACAGAGACGATAACTGAGTATAGTCTGAACTACCAACTGAGGAACAATGAATGTTAAAGTCTTGCCTAGGTTCAATTAAGCGCAATCCCAACCGCTCACACACTTGTCATATTCAGCCACATTCTCATAAGAATAAACAAGAGAGTGTCATTGCTAGTATGCCCAGAATAGTACCTGCAAGGCAGAGGGCTACAGAGGAACAAAACAAACCCAGGGTCTCTCCATCTGAAAGATGAGGACACCTGGACCACAAATTCTAGTTTTTACAATACAAATTGTAGAGAAGAAAAGTCCTGTGAGAATGTTTATAGTTACTATTAGAACAGGTTTAAATTCTTCTACACCTCCTGCCCCATCAAGAAGAACAGAAATTAATCAGATGAAATTAGTTAAGTGACTGACCATCCTGCAGAAATTGGTTAATAGCATGAGGTGATCAGGAGCCTCTGGGACACCAGGAATCGCACCAGTGCTGCAGACACAAACCTCACCCTGGATGGCCCCCAGAACCTCCTCCACTAAGGGGAAGCTCAGACATTAAGTACACATCAGCAATCCCCAAACCTTCTGACTGCATGAGAGAATCTCCAGGGAGGCTCTTTTCACAGAAGCCCTCACCATCAGGTCTCCCGAATCACAACCTCAGAAAGGGAACTCAGGCATCTGATCTGGAAAAGCGTCTGATGAATCTGAAGTGCAGCCATTTTGGGTACCTCGAGGGCAATCAGCTGTAATGTGGGGTCACAGGCACTAGGAGGGAAGAAGGGTGTTTCACTGGGAGCAGGAAGGGCTTCCTATGGATATGGTAAGGGTGCTGCAACCAGACTCCCCAAGTCTACACTGACTAGCTGTATGCTCATGAGCAAATTTTGCAGCCTCAAATTCCCATTTGCAATCCTGCAGGGAGACAGAGAAAGCCTGTATGAAAGCAGGCTGAGTTTAGGAGCCAGGGGTAAAGCAGAAGAGAAGACATTTAAAAGGTGTCACATGAGAGCCTCAACTATTTGGCTAAGGGTTCCGATGACAGCCATCACAGGAGAGGCTTAGCAAAATGTTCATTTTAGAAAGATTTGGAAGCTCTTTGGAGCCTGGATTAGAGAATGCACAATTAGAGGAAGGGAGAGCAGCTAAGGCTTCTACACACATGTGGCCTAGATCACAGGCTTTGGCAGGAAGATGGGCAGACCTGGCCATCGAGCAGGTGGGCACTAGGGCTGAGGATTTGCCTGGAGTTTTAAAGTCTGGTGGAGTATATAGGGCCAAGAAACACAAAACCTTAGAAGAAAGGTCCGCAGACCCAAAAGCTTTCTGGTCACCGTTGGTTGTTCTGGGCAAAAATTTAGATATCTTAAGAGAGATCGAACAAGCTAGCAGGTGCATAAAATACAGCATTGCCCATGTGTTTGGCAACCTGTGCATTAAAACTGGGTACAGTCTCTGTATTACCGCATAGGCCAAAAGCCAGTTTCCTTTCCGAGCTTGTGATTTAGGAGTTCAAAGGCTGAGGGAGGGTTAAGTAAACCACACCACTGTCTCAAGGATGGGATATCACACAACAGTTTAAACAGTGTATTTGAAAATAATGGGTTGAGTTTTTACCAGCAACAGGTTAAAATTTTACTAGCAACAATTTAAATTGTATTAAAACAACTGTATATGAATTGGGAAAAACCTGGAGAAATAAAATATTACCGGTCACAATGAGCAGCTATGAAGAAGAATGTCATTGTGTTTTCAATGTTTTTAGGAAAACAAATGGCTCATACATATGGAAAGATGTTTTACTTCATTCACAATTTTAAAAAATGCAAATCACAGCCACACTGACATTCAATTTTTCACCACTCAGACACAAACCTTTGTAAGTTTGATAACATAATACCCTATTGGCAAGGCCATATAAAAGTAGCACCCAGACCCTCCCTGGTGGCACAGCGGGTTAAAACACAGCACTACAAAGCGAAAGCCACTTCAGCATGAGTTCATTCTCTGGCCCTGGACGTGACCCACATGGTGTGGCAGCTCTCTCCTGTCCTTCCTGCTGCTCCCCTCAGCAGTGTACTTCGTCAATGTGCCTGTTCTGCTCCCCACTCTGTCTCTGGTGAATCCTCTCACTGCCCCTG